AGTTTGAAACAGAAAGCACTCACTTGGGCGGGGAGAGAACGTCCTCAAGAAACTCCTCGATCTTGTTGACGTCGGTTTTGACCTCGCCGTTGAAGGTGATGAAGGGCGGGTGCGTGCCGGGGGCCAGGTTCTGGAGGTCTGCGGGCTTCCTGGGACACGGAGTGGAGAAATGTCAGTGGGCAGATGAAGGCAGAACCTTGTGTTGAGAGCTTGTTTCTAACATGTAAAATCTGCTTTTATCCCCACAAAAGGAACCAAAGATTTGACTTAATACTGTGTGTATAATATACTGTGTAATTACTTTAAGATCAAATATTTAACGGGCTGCGTTTCTGCTGCGTGTTTTTTCAGACCTCTACAACCCGCCTCCAGCTGGAGCCGCTGTGCTGAGAGTCTGTTTGTGTCCCCTTTTTTCTCTGTGGCCTTCAAACCAGCACATTTCGTGCCAGATGTCTCTGGCAGGCAGATGAGGCTGACACACAAACAGCAATGAGCATGTGCTGAATGAGTCTTCAGTATAAAAACAACAAAACAGCAGTGACTCAGCCGCTGATGGGTTTGTGGGGACAGTCTAAACACTGTGGCTGATATTAATAATACCATCAACATCATTCATCTAACAGTGCAGGTTTTTTGAGTCCATGCCCGTAATGATGGGGAGCTTTGGGACGAACCATTTAAGGGCAGAAAAAAGGGGAAATTACTTCAACTCTTTGGCATGTCAGGGGGAAGTGACATGCCCACCGATTATCACTGAGGAGTGAGGAAGGAACTGCTTCAAATCACAGAAAAACAGGAGAGCCTTGAAAGACAAGAATAAATAAAACCCCATATTTGCCATTTTACTGTTGACCCAAAATGACACCAGAATCTGTAGTACAGCCATGAAACTATTTTATTTATTTTAACTGAAAGTGAGACTAATCAGGTTCTTTGCAGGTTTTAAAATGAGAGAAACACATGCACGTCATGCTGTGTTGTTATCTACTCAACAAAACTCAGACGAACCGCAGAAAGTGTGTGAGAACAAGTAGACCCCACCATTCAGTAACTTACAGAATCCGTCTTCTGCTTTGTTCAGATGCAGCTTCGCAAACCCAAACCGAGAGGAGGCTTTCTCGCAACTAGGGCTGGGCCATATCATACTGTTCACGGGAATATAGGTATAATGTAAGGCAACGATAAGAAAATGAAATATCGCGATAGAATATGGGTAAAACACGCATGCGCAGTGCACACGGCGGAAAAAACATGGCGGCGACGGAGAACGACAAGGGCGAAAGCGGCTCGTTGAGTGAAACCAGAATTGGTTTGTAAAAATGCCGCAACTTCAGTGGTGTGGAGCCGTCAGATACACAACAAAGCACTATTTTTGGTAGAGC